AATTATCTACCTTACAAATTTTTCAGGACTTCAGTCTGCAAAAAAACGGTATAAATTTAACTATTCTTAGTTGAGACATATTTTCGGATAATTTTTCCCATTTTTATTTGTTCATCAATTCATCCATTAAGCTTCTAAATCGACAAGTGTTGTTCCACGACGAATTATTTATGAGGTAACTCCGCGCTGTCCAAACTTTACTCGCGACTAAATCGTGCTACCTCTGCTCTGCATTCGTTGTCAAGGAAACCAAGATGCTAAGTGGCACGCTGGTCTACTGCCATCTGCGTCGAATGCGGCAATCTGAATTCCCTGCCTTTTACTACTGCTGCTAATCTTTGTTAGCCATAATGGTGATAATAAATCGTCCCCGTTGCACCAGAAATGTGCATATAAAAATAATAATAGCGGAGATCATGCTGCAGATACAGACAAAACCTTCGTAAGTTCCTTCAGAAGAATTACTGCAGAGGAACAATTACTTTCTTCTCCCAGAAGATTCCTTTCGTTCAAGCAAGTTAAAAATGTCATTAGCTTTTGTCAACTATACTAAACCTACCAAATCTAATATCCCATTCTTAAACATTCTATGCAACGTAAAAAGAATCAGCATCCCAATAACTTTCAATATTACATATTTCTATACAGTTTTAATACAGGGTTGCAACTCGCACAAGAAACCCGAACATTTATCCCCTTAAATCAGTTACATCCGCATCATCTACACTTAATTTTATTTCACTTAAGCTCTTCAATTTCTCAGTTTTCCACTTAACAGTACTTTACAACACATTTTAATACACCGTTTCCTTTGATTATTTCATAAACACGATTCATACCAAACTAGGGTAGCACAGTTTTGAAAGAAGAAAGCTCACTAGGATTCGCATCGTTTCCGCGTCATTCATTTGTATTCCTTTTAATATGTATTCGACGAACGTGCCGGCGAATTTTAGGCACGTCCCGCTCGCAGGGAGCGTGCCAAGGAGCGGCGGCGACGCCCGGCGTTCCCGAAACGACGTCGGCGACCCCCGGCCACGACCACTTACCCCGCTCGGGTCTGCGCGTGAATGAGGACCGTCGAAAAGCGCATTAAAATTCCAAGAATATTCATAAAGCCGGCCGCGAAACGCACAAAGGGGCCTCGCCCCGGGCTCTTCCTGCGTGTTGAAAGACTGACGTCGCATTCGGCGCGGCAGCTTGCGCGATCGCGATCGAATCTTTCGCGCGAATACACCGCCTATTGTCGGCCCGCGGCGCTCTCTTATTGCGACGCCGGCGATGAACGGGTTTATGGCCGTGCATATAGAGATCCGGCGAAGGGAGGATCATCGTTAGGGTTCAATCCTGAGGCGTCCCTGCTGACCGTCGAATAGTTGCACGCGCGTCTCCTCGCATTTACATGGAAATCTCCGGTTACCTGGTCGATTACATTCCCCGCATTATGGCGTCCGCTACGGAGATTCCGGATACGAAGGATCTGAAACCCCTTAAGAATTCCCGGCATTTTGTTCGAGAATCCTGTCCCCTGGACCATCGACTGAATTTTAGCGATTTCGATGATCGACCGACTGTGGTGTGTGCAACTGCTACATGCAGCGATTGCCGTATTCGATCTTTCGCGTTTCGAGTAACCTTGAGTTTTTGATGTGGGACTTGTTACTTTACGAGAAATCATTACCTGTTCTCTTAGGGATAATAAACGTAAAGTCAATACTGGAAACGACGAAGAAGTATCAGAATGTATAGAAATTTGGAAAAAGTTTTAGGTAGGCTGTAACTCGTATTGTGTTATGTATTTGTTCGCTGAATTTTGTAAATTTTTATGAGGGGATTGTATTAACCCTTTGAGTGCTGTGAGCGCATATATGCATTCAGCGAAAATCATCGCTGTGTATTGTGAACGCTTATATGCGTTTTTCGATCTTTTTAGTCTCACGCGTGCCATGGTGACAATTATAAGTGTATGCGATTAATATACTGTAATGAATATTCAGCACTCAAAGGGTTCAGAAATATGCTGGACGCCGCCACTGTATTGTTCGCACTTGAGTCTTTAACAGTTTGCCTATTGGGAAATGTTTTGGCAGTGTTAGGGTTATAACATTGTTATGCTGTTGTGGATAGTTCTAGCTAAAGTTGGTAAAGTATCCGTCTATTAGAGTAAAATTAAATGTTAAATCTGTCAGGTTAATCTGTAGTAGATGTTTTTTGGGAATTCTTGTGAAGGCGATAAAGTTGAAGGTTAGGCTTTTATTGGAGTTTTGATAGTGAGAGAATGTTGTGAATCATTTTTTTTCGTGTTAGTATTTGCTGCTTTGTGAAGAATAAATTTATTTAGCGTTTATTAGGTTCTTGAAGTTTTAAAATGGTAACTACTACACTCAGCATTTAAAAAAGGGCTCTAGCTTTCAGAACATTTAGGTGTTGGTTTGGCAGTTAACGAGTTACCCAAATTCACGTGTTTCACGAGCAGATACTGGGGATGTTTCTGTAAATGTATGCTGCTTTAGGTAGTTCATTTTACGAGAACGCGAAATAAACTTTGTTTTTGGAGTAATAAAACCATCCATGAAACTATATTTTTGGGACAATGGGAATATTCGTGAAATTTTATTATTCCCTTTTTAGTATTTATTATATTCTACAAATTTGTACGATTCATAAAGTCGCAATAAACTCTAATTTATTAACAGATTTCTTACTAATTTAGTAAACTACGGACTATTTTGTCTATGAGAAACTTTATTTTTAAAGAAATCACTTTCCATTCTGTTTTTAAGTATCTTCATTTGCTACGTTTCATTGGCTACAATAATCCAAGGGCGCAAAATAAGAATTCTTCCAAATTGTACCAACTCAGTATCAAAATAAACGTCAATCTAACTCTCTACTACACTTTCATCGTCCATCATTCCCCCAAATTAGTTCCATTACCACTAATACACCATCGTTTAATCTTCCACCATCAATCACAACCGCCACAATTTTATCTCCTCGCCGAGCACATGAAACCTCCGTAAATTCAAACGGCTGAGTCTCGCAGAGCTTTCGCTTTCGAAAAAAAATCTCGGCTCGCGAGTACTGGGCAAAAACCAGGCGCGCGCGATTACATCGAATGCGTATCGTCAGCAAGGGAACGGTTGCTCGGGGGTGTTCTTCGCAGTGAGTTTCCAGCGGCAGCAGCGTGGCGGACGCGGGGAATCGGTGTTCGTAGTGAATGCGAGGCAACGTGCGCGCGAGAAACGAGAATCAGCAAAATAGGATTCGCGGAGGGGCGAAAGAGAGAAGAGGCAGGGGCGTACGGCGCGTGTTTGGGCCCGCCGGGGGTTGGAAACACGGTGACGGGCGCGGAACGGCGACGAAAGACGACCGGGGAATGGGGAACACGAATGGTGGGCGCGATCGACTGAAATTCGCGTGTTCGCAGACGTTCGTATCACAATATTGGACCGGTGCGTCGCTACGCGCTCGCGTAACTAGTTCTCGGTGAGCAAAGGCATCGCGAAAGCGTTGACTTTGTTTCAATTCCTCGTGTTAATAGCTGACGATTTTCTTAGATGTATTTAGGAATTTTTTGATTTTCTGACAATTCTTGTCGCTTCGCTGGTGAACGTTCGTTGCGGATACAACCTAGGAGCGTCAATTGCTTTCTTATTTTTCTGTAATTGGACATCGTGTAGGAAAGTTTAATTACTGGAATCTTTATTTGTTTTTGTATCCAATGATTGGAACACTGCGGTTTTAGGTTACACAGTTGTTGAATAGCTGGGAATATTTTTGCGAATTTTTGTTTGCTTGGATGAAATTAAAAACAAATTTCGACGCATCGAAATATAATATTGAACGTTGCCGAGCAACATGCTGCACGCTTTGTTCGAAAACCTTCCGCCATTCATCGCATTCAGTTACCCATAACGTTCGTTCGTGCATTCTAATACGAAACGTCACGTCGAAAAGCGAAACGACATCGCGGTCAACTCAATAAAACGCGAGAAGTCTTTCTGGCCAACACAATACAATTGAACCACTTGACCCGTGCTGCCCCCAGAATTCTCCGCTTCTGCTAACGATCAGCTCCAATAGCTTTCCCACTGTTTAAATAATTCGCCAAAGAATCTCTTCTCGTCTCAAGGAATCCCAATAAATGTGTCCACCATCGTCTTCTCCCGCCAGCGTGGCAGGCTCCTCGAATCCCAACGAGCCTCGCTACTCCAAGCGCAAAGGGTTAATTAGAACCGCTTTTATCCGCGAGTGCTTTTCGCGATCGCGTCACGTGGACCGGCATCAATTGGATTCCATAAAAGCAACTCGCATCGGTTGGTCTCATCCTCAGTCCGCCGATCGCCTCGCGAAGCGCTATCAATCCTCCATCTTCGTCTTATCGCGCAGCGTTTAAGCCGATTTTTCTGTTCGAAGGTGCTGCCTCGAAGGACCACGTCGAAGGGTAGCCGCGTCTCCGCGCGAAGGAAGAAGAGCTAGCACGCGGCGGTCGAGTAAACCTCTAAAGCTCTGGGAGCAAGAGAGCGTCTACTACCGCGTTGACAGGCGGAGCCAGCGTGCCAGAGGGAGAACGAGAAAGCCCGGCAATCGACAGATGAGAGTTCGAGTCGCAGAAAGTGGTTTTCAAAGAGAGTGTGAGAGAGGGTCGACGAGAGAAGAGAGGAAGGAGAGCAGGTCGACGCGAGTTAGCCGGGTGAAAAGAAGCGGAGGAGAGCATCAGAAGCCCCGAGCCGGCTAGAAGAGGAACCTCCACTTCTGTGTCTGCAGCGGGAAAAGAAGAGCTTCGAACGGGGAGGGTTCGCTCGTACCTCCTGCTTCGCACGAGAGAGAGGAAGATACAAACATCC